AATATAATTATTATCTGCCGCATCATGGTGTTGTACGCGAGTCGAGTACCACCACAAAACTTCGTGTGGTGTTCGACGCTTCAGCTGCAACAACTTCAATGATATTCAGATAGTAGGTCCAACTGTCCAGCAGGATTTACTTTCTATTCTTTTAAGATTTAGACAATATAGGTATGTTGTAACAGGCAACATTGAAAAAATGTATAGAGCTATTTTAGTGGAGCCTCGTCAGCGTTCGTTACAACAAATCGTTTTTAGGTTCGATTCTTCCGAACCCCTTAAAAAATATTCTCTGAATACAGTAATATATGGCACTGCTTCAGGTCCGTATCTTGCCACAAGGTTTTTAGTTTCCCTTGCTTGTTGTGTCTCTAGTTGGTGACTCTATTAAGCGCGACTTTTATGTCGACGACTACTTGAGCGGTGGAGATTCGATTGAGTCAGTCGTACAACTCTGTCGAGGTGTCATTAATACTCTCGAATCAGCTAAATTTTGCCTTAGAAAGTGGCAGTCTAATAGCCTTGAAATTTTGGAGTCAGTAACCAATATTCAAAATAAGCACTCAGAAAAGGCTCTTAATCATAATGAATCTCCAAGCAAAACACTAGGACTATTCTAGAACTCACATATGGACAGACTTTTCTTTTCAATTAAATCAATTGCTATAAACAACGTAACGAAACGCATTATTTTATCTTTAATTAGTCAGGTTTTTGATCCCCTTGGTCTCGTTGGACCATGCATTGTTCAGGCCAAAATTTTACTTCAGCAGCTTTGGGTACACAAACGTGATTGGGATGAAGACGTTCCAGCTGAAATAAAATCATCATTTATTGAATTCATCACTTCACTTCTTCACTTAAACTTAATTCGAATTCCTCGTTGGGTCATCAATCAAAGAAGCTTTGATACATGAAGTATCAAAGCTTCTTTGATTGAACTTCACATCATCACAGATGCTTCTGAGCGTGCTTACGGCGCTTGTGTGTATGTTCGATAAGTCGCAGAAGATGGAACGGTTTATGTTCGTCTGTTAGCCTCCAAAAATAAGGTAGCATCCATTAAGCCAACAAGTATACCACGCTTAGAACTATGTGGCACTTTATTAGAGACGCGACTGTATACCAAGGTACTCAAGTCCCTTACCCTTCAATTTAGAAAATCATTTTTCTGGTGTGACTCAACAATCGTCCTTGGATGGCTTTCCACACAACCCAGTGGACTTAATCATTTTGTACGTAACAGAGTTTCTGAGGTGCAGGAAGCTACGATCGGCCAGACGTGGAACTACGTGCCTACCAAACTGAATCCCGCAGCTCTCGTGTCCCGCGGGTTGAAGGCTGATACTATTAGCACGTCCACACTTTGGTGGTCTGGTCCTGATTTTCTTCATAACCTCATCATTCAATTTCCAACATGTCCCAAAACTCAAAACATTACGTTACCCGAAACTTCATTACATATCCTTGTCAAAAATGATGTAATAGATCACACTAACAATGCAATAACTCAATTAATTCACAAACTTTCATCATTTACCAAATTAATCAGAACCTTAGCTTATTGTCAGTAGATTTATTTATAATTGCAGATTTCCCAATAACAAAATTTTATCTCACCTGTCTTATTCAGAATTACAACATTCACAAAATTCAATTTTACAATGTGCTCAACAGGAAATGTTCCCTGAGGAATACAATACTCTTAAATATAATAAAATATTACACAGTAAAAATAGATCGATTAGCCTCTCTCCCTTTATTGATCTTGTAATATATTACGTGTAGGCGGACGCCTTCAAAACTCTAACTACACTTACGATGTAAAGCATCCCATATTATTCTGTAGTAAACATCACCTAACTAAAATAATATTTAAATCATACCACCTCTCTCTCTCTTTCACGCAGGACCTCAACTACTTTTAGCAAATGTAAGACTAACATATTGGCCCCTCGGTGGTAGAAACTTAGCAAAACAAATTGTACGAACTTGTATTCGATGTACTCGCGTAAAAGGCAACCTGATTTCCCGTTTTTAACGGCAGGCTTAGATTTTGCAAGTGCAGTGCTAATAGCCGACCGTAATGGCAGAGGTTGTAAGTTATTAAAATCATACATTTGTGTTTTGTGTGCTTTGCAGTTAGAGCCCTCCACTTGGAATTGGTCTCCGATTTAACGAAGGAGTCTTTTCTTGCCACCTTTAATCGGTTTGTCGCACGTCGTGGCAAGCCTCAGCGCGTGTACTCCGACAACGGCACTACCTTTGTAGGAGCTTTCAATGAGCTTAGACGATTTCTACAATTATCTCACAATAAAATAGAGTCCGATATTGCAAACCAGGGCATAGAATTCAAATTTATACCACCTTATTCACCTCATTTTGGGGGCATTTGGGAGGCAGCAGTAAAGTCGACCAAACATCTTTTACGTCGCACACTCGGTCTTACTCATCTTACTTATGAAGAGATTCCGACGTGTCTGAGTCAGATAGAGGCCATCTTAAATTCCAGACCATTGACCCCCTCTATCCTTAGATCCTTCTGATCTCTCCAATCTTTCCCCGTCTCACTTCCTGATCGAACGACCACTCACATCAGTTCCGCATCCTCAGATCGCTGACAGTAACATCCAGCGACTTCCACGCTACCAGGGAGTCGAAAAGCTTCGGCAGCATTTCTGCCACCGGTTTTCCAAGGAGTACATTACTGCTTTACAACAACGAACGAAGTGGAAAACCACTGATCAAGAGCTGAAGACAGGCATCATGGTTTTAGTGAAGGACGTCAATCGACCTCCTCTTCTTTAGCTGATGGGCAGAGTGATCGCCGTAAGACCAGGATATGACGGCGTACTAGAGTTTGGCCATTAAAGTCATTTTCAGTCTATTTTTCCGATCAGATGTTAAACCACTTGCACATCCACGCACAATGAAATATTTCTCCATTTTTTAATGTTTCTTTTTGTCAAAAATTACTAAATTACGGAGCATGAAAATTCTCTCACCTATGCCGCGGAGAAAATTTGTACTTTATTCAACTAACTTCCATCTACTTGTTAAACAGTCACTGCTCACCGACGTCAGCGCTGCTATAAATTCTACAATTTTCAAGGACAGGCGGGCTATGCTTTAGTTCGTTCTCGTGTTTTCTAACGTTCATGGTCATTTAATTCACTGACAATAGCTCCCGATTATACTAGCTTGTCTACTAAGACTCGATGGACAGTTACCTACCCGTAGACAGAGAAACTGTCTACGTACTTAAAGTCCACTTCGCACTTTGATTTGAATTAGGGATGATCAATGTTACAGAAACATCGATGTTGGCCATTATCGATGTTTTTGCACATGTTAGGTACATGTGCAAAAACATCGATAATTTAAATATATAATTTAATATAATAGGTTAAAATTAGATGAATAAAAAATTAGTAATGTTGTTTATGCTTTATTATTAAGAAATTCAAATAAAAGAAATTAATAACAATTTTAGTGTCAAACAGTAATAAAAAAACGGGAAGAAATTAACAAATATCTAGTTTATTTGTTACATTTTTTGCCGATGATGTTGAATGTTATTATTTTGATCTTTAAATGTTCCTATACACTCATAAGTCTGGTATGAAAAAAATTACTGTAAGACGTAATTTACGATTTAGAAGTAGGTGTTATATCAACTATTCCTATCGCGAATTAAAAATATGATTATAGTGAAAAATTTACAAACTATACAAAAATAAAATGATAGACTTTTCCGTCTTCGTGATCAGCCAGCCCAAGCAGAGTATCCACAGCTGTTTCTAAAATGCACAGTCAAATGAACTATGCAATGAATATGCTCGCGAACGCTCAGTAATTTATTTTTATATACTTCAAGCAAATAATAAATTTGTAGTCGTGAAAGGAAAAGGGAGATGTCCCGCCAGACAACGTGTTCTGCACGGGAAGCAGCCAACGCACTGAGTGATAGTTCAGGGCTATTCTACATAATATACTGTTTTACTTTGGAACTTTGAGTGCGATTTAGGCTTCAATGTGTTTTTAGCTTGTGGCGCGACGACAGCGCTGCCACAAACTCGTTATGACAAGCTCAAAAACACAGCTAAATATAAATTATTTGTGTAAATACTTACATATTATTTCGAAATTATGTGGGTATAGACAACAAAGGAAAAAACAATTATTTTGAACATCAATTTATGTAGAATAGTTATATAATTAGGTAACAGCTGACAATGACACCACAGAATAACAAAGTGAAAGCAGTGACAACTGTGACTTTTTACTTTACACTTGACAGTTAATTTGACACACCATACTGATATTTTTTTCTAAATTTAAAATATTAACCTTTAATCCAGCGTGACGATTTGGCAAGGTGGTTGGTAGTAACAGGATGCGCATGGCCAAAGATAGGGTTAAGTCGCGCGCTTTGGGACAGGCCTATGTCCAGCAGTAGACTGCAGCAGGCTGATGATGATGATGAATAGGAGATGCAAGATTTAGTTGATATTGATTTCGTGGGTTCGCGTTGTTCACAAGTTCTTATTAATCGATTATTGGTTCATTGATATCGATATTTCGATGTTTGAGATATATCGATATCAATAGATACATCGATGTTAAAACTTGGTTCATTGACATCGATGATCATCGACATCCCTAATTTGAATTGAATATAGTTGAATCACAGAGTACTTTTCTATGTTTTTACAAGGAGGTTATATGTATATATATTTATTTATAACCTCCTTGTGTTTTTATCATTATCATTGATATTAATTAATTGATACCATATATTTTTATATATAGGAAGAGTCGAATCACAGAGTACCTTTGTATAAACTGAAGTTGAATTGAGTGGAGTTGACCTTAAGATTAGGAGGCCCATATTTTGTACGGATCATAGATTACTGGTACGGATATAAAATATTTAGTTAGCTGCTAGTGTCAATTTTAACTGTGTTATTACAAAACAAATATATATGTTAAGTGATAAAATGACATCAACAGTTCCACTTATTGTAAGATTATTAGCTTCGTCCGTGTCAGTTGCGAACAGAGCTGGAAAAATAATCAGAGATGTTATGAGTAAAGGAGAACTTGGTATTGTTGAAAAGGTTTGTTTGTTTACAGTTCTAAATTATTTAATCTTTATATAAATACGAAAATGTAAACATAAAAGTAATCAATTAGAAAGAAAAATTTAGCGATTTATACAGGGCTCAAATCATTATTTTACTTAATTTCAGGGAAAAGACGACCTTCAAACAGAGGCAGATAGATCTGCGCAGCGATGTATTATTGCATCACTTTCTGCACAGTTTCCCAAAGTGAATATCATTGGTGAAGAAGATAATCCTGATACTGAGGTTAGACTTATACCAGGACCATTACCTATTAACTGAATAGATGAAATAGTTTGATGTACCTATCAATGTTTTGAATCTATTCCGGATTGTATTGTAGTAATATGGACTCAACATAGGGTTCCCAACCCTCCAAAATTGCTTGGGAGACTCTGTTAATAATGGTTAATCTCCCGACCTCCCGGGGTGCAATGATTTCTCTGGTTTTTCTAAAAATTATAAGCATCTGTCGATTGCACTCGCTTTGCAGTAACACAAAAGTAGTGTGAGTAAATTGCTCGTCGCTTCAGCGGTGTCCATTTCTGTCATGCACGCCATGTGCGCCTCATGACCGAGAGATAGCTGAATGCAGTACTTCCCCCCGTAGCTTGTCAAGTGTATCACGCATTTGCTCTTGTTCTCAGTCTAACTAAATAAATCATTCAGTGAAATGCGTATTGCGCTAACGAGGGGCAATAAGTAATTTGAGAAAAATTGTCATAACTCGGGAAGTGAGAGTAGGAAAAGTACTATTGTTCTTTCAATGACCTGTGGTTAAAATATGATACGTGCTTATCAGAAAACATGAGTTCACAGCAAAATGTAACATATGTCAGCATTTATTTTCAGTCAAGTTTGGCAGTTTTGTATCTGTGAAACAACATGAAAAATCTTTGAACCATCAAACCTTTATTAAGAACGCCAAAACAAATCAAGGTATCAGTTCTTTTATTTTGAAAAAAAAAAACAGTCTAAAAGAGTAATGAAGAGATTTTAATTACCTCTGCTGAAGTTACTTTGACCTTCCATGGTATCAAACATCATCACAGTTATAATAGTCAAGACTGTGGACACAAATTAAACTCTGTCATATTTTCTGATTCGATGACTGCGAAAAAAGTATCATGCGAAAGAACAAAAGCAAGCAGTATTGCCGAAAATGTTTTAGGGCCGGCTAGTCAAGAATGCTTGACTTAGATAGTGACAAACTGTATGATGAAGTTGGACTTTTGGGTGAGATGCAACCTCAGCTCGTTGAAGAAAATCGAGTGGATTTTCGCTGGGTTGACTTCTTAACAAAATTCAAAAGACAGAAATCCCTGTTCTGAATTTAAAAAAATGGTCACATTTGTTCTTTCCATTTATCTCTAATGCTTCTTGCGAGCGCATATTCAGCATGATGGAGCAAACATGGAGCAGGGAAAGAAACCGAATAAGTATTTCTTTAGTGAAAACGGAGTACTAATAAACATCAATTTTTTGTGTAAAAACTTTTACGATTTTGTGGTGAAAAATCGACAAAACATTAGATGTTGAGCGAAAGCAAAGTAAATATAAAAATTTATTAAAAGGGGTTGATCTTATTTTAGTTAGTCCAGTCCAAAAAAAGCAGTTATAGAGATATTAATTTATGAAATTATTTTTTATTTTTGATCTAGTGAAACATTATTTTAACGCTAAAATATACTTATGGCATTTTAATTTCAACTTTTATTATTTACATACAATTTATAAATGTTTTATGTAAATGTGTTTTTTAATTTTTTTATAAAACTAGTGACAAGTGGACTGTAAGTTCTCTCAGGTAAGATCTCTCAGGACTAAGGATGAGTTAGAGGTCCTAGAGGTAAACACACCCTGTGTTACTGGTGCGCCTTAATATAGAAGGCAAAGGGGGTGGAGAAGTCCTGCTCAAGGAGGTTCTGCCATAGGCCGGCCAGTGCTGGTGGGGCCACAGATGTGTGCAAAAGTGAAGGTGGAACACTATGGGTGTTTTGTTGGTGGGAGTCCAACATAACTTGTCCTTGCCCCCGCGAGGCACGTATGCATAGGCATTTAAATGCCTCACAGTCTGCAATTTTACTGGCTCTATATAGACTTACTCACTTTTAGTTAACAAATATGTCAACTAAATAAAACATAATTTTCCAAATTCCTGTGCAGTTCATGGCCCCTAACACTATTCATAGAATTCTTACTGTGGTTGAGTCTGCTAGATGGATATAAATATTATTAAACTTATCTGACTTCTTTGCCATAAAAATCACATGATCACATAGTCATTACACTAACATGTTATTATATGCTTAAACAAGAAATCAAGTAGCCGAACATCTGGCAGTCTAGCCGAAAGCCTTGATAAAAGATATACTATATCTGGAATACTATTGTTTGAAATTAGTCATAATATTCTCATTTTATTTTAAAGGATGAGATTCCCAGTGATTGGATTGTTATAGACACAGATAAGGATATATTAAATATAGGATGCCCTTCCAATCTTCAAGGTGTAAAGGAGGAGGACATTGTGGTGTGGGTGGACCCATTAGATGGAACTTCTGAATATACTCAAGGTATTTTTATTTTTTAAATGTAAGCTCCATATTATTTTCTTCTGTGTCGTGAGGGTAGTTTACATAAATAAATTTCACGAGGACAAATATCTGGACCTGAAACAATTATTTGTAGGCCATACAAATACTTGTTCCATAGAGGATTCGAACCAGCGGTCCTTAGAGCTGCAACTCATTGCTAAGTCACTGCGCCACGAAACCATCTATTTTAAAAATAAAAATTTACAAATTTTATTTTGAGGATATATCAAGTATGAAGGTAAATCTTACCTCCCCTCCTCATAAATATAATAACAGGGTAGTTTAGTTGCGACTATAGTTAAAAGTGAAAGTATGTCGAGTATAAATATTGGTTTTTATATTTGTTAGAACTAGCAATTCACATTTAATCACAATGCTATATATATATTTTTAATTTAAGAATATTCTTAATAAATATTTCTGGACATTGTCTTTCATAGTAGTAACAATTAATGCATTATAAAGATACTAGCTGTCCCCTGTATCTTTGTCAACATGAAATCTAATCGTAAGATTAGATTTCATTGGTTGTAACATTTTTGCACTGAACCCTTATTATGTCTAAAATAAAAGTAGCCTAAGTTACTTCCTTATAACATCAGCTATCTGCCAGTGAAAGTTCCATCAAAATCGGTCCAGCTATTTTGGAGGGTTAGCCATAACAAAATCACAGACAGACAAAATGTTTAAAATTTATTTTATGTTATATATACTTTCATATGTATTTAGTAAAAAGCTGTTATTTTGTCGCTACAAACAAACACTTTGATTTTATTTGTTTTTATAGATTGTATGTATCACTTATAAAAGTAAGGTTAGTTTGTATGTTCTATTAGTAGAACATACAAACTAACCTTACTTTTATAAGTCTCTCTTTTTAAGGGCCTCATTTCTGAAATATTTTATTCCTCATACATGTTTGTCTCCACAATGTTTTCCTTCACCGTCGAGCATGTGTTATTAACATTTAAAATTATAAATTAACAATTTTATTATACTAGAGCTGCAGTAACTTAGGAGCTTAGCACTTGCTGTAAATTACACAGTACACAAACAACCCGGGTTCGATTCCGCCGGCACATATGAAATTGTTATTTGCAATTTTAAGTACTGGTTTACCACATGCTCGGCGATGAAGGAAAACCTTCATGTCCAAGAAATAAAAAAATATTTCGAGGTTGTGAAGGCCAACACGCACTGGGGCAGAGCAGCGGATACTTCCTTGCCTTTAAACCCTCTCAGAAGTGAGAGGAGGATTGTACCCAGAAGTAGGATGTATATAGGCTGTATCCCTACTTTACTTGGGGATCCAACCAGGGGTTCAAATACTGTTTAATAAATAATTTATTAAGAGCACTTAAGTTTTGAGCTACTTGACTAACAGTCCTGGCTAACTATCACTTACAGTTTATAGTAGGTACCCAGAAACAGCCTGTAAGATAACTTTTGTTATGTAAAATTTTTGAATATTATGATAGCCTGCAAAATGAGACTCTGTCATCTGAATTTGGATATGTCAAATACATGTATTATTTAGGTACATTATTAGAATTAGTCCTCCATATTTATGGATAGCAACAGCTTTATTTTTATTTGTTTATGCAAGGTTACTTTTTGTGCGTGCAGGAAATGTTATTTACAAGCCATTATTAACCATTACTTCCTGAATTCAATTAGTTTGTTCAAGGTACAATAAAGTTTCTAAACATATATCTGTGACTTTCTGTATATTATATTGAAACTCATTATTTAAGGTGTTTGATTATTGATTGAAGGCATTTTATTTTGCAAGAGATTGATATGATTTCAAATTTTTAACAAGGTTTCCAAAATAAGAGTCACTTATTTTAATCATAAACAAATATCTTTTTAGTAGGTCGAAATAGTGTTTTACATTTTGTGGTACTTATTTCTGTTAAACATTATAGTTTTATAAAATATTTTTACAAAGTGCAAAAACATATTATATTTCTTCTTCTTATGTCTTCTTCTTCTTAATATCTCTCTCATATACTATAAAAATCATTTGCTGTCCTTTATTCTCGCATGAACTTGAAAATGGCTCGACCGTTTTTTGATGAATTTTTCGTGTGTATTTGAGTGATTCCGTGGATGATTTAAAAAATCAATTGGAACCGGTAGATAGCGCTGTTGTCGAGATACAGAAATCACATGTGCGAAGCCAGGGCGGATTGTAGTACAATATAAAAACATAATATGAGGTTTTTAGTTACTTCAAAATCTTCTAGGTGCCCTAATGTTGAAGAGAGATCCTTGGGAAAGATGGAAAATGTACTTGACACATCCCTTTATTAGTATCAAATGGTATTTAAGTTTACTGCAATCAAACTATGGTAAATGGAAAATTTGAAAGTAATAGGTAGTAAAGCTTTTGTTTATCATTCCTACTTAATAAGGGTCATTGATAATATCACAGTAAAAAATATACCTAATAAATATTTAAAATAACCAAAACAGAATTATGTAATAAAATACTTATATAATTTTATTTAGTATTAACTATTATTTGTCAATGACCTTGTTTCACGTTGGTTCTATTATAATTAACAACGCAATCAAAAATACTAAGGACATTTCCGTATTACTAATAGTCATTTTGACCTTAGCACACATTGCATGTTGCATGTAATAAAGTAGTGCCAGTTTATAATAATAAAATAATAATTATTTTTTCATTCTTTGTTACAGGTTTCCTGGAACATGTGACTGTCCTAATTGGTATTGCTGTGAATGAGAAGCCAGTAGCTGGAGTCATACACCAACCTTACTATAAAACTCTTATTGGCGGAGAAAAAAAAATTGGCCGTACCATTTGGGGCATACAAGAAGTGGGTGTTGGAGGATTCACACCAGCACCCCCTCCTGATGCTTTGGTTATCACCACTACACGGAGTCATTCTAACCCAATGGTAGAGAAAGCATTGCAAGTTATGAATGCAAATCAAATATTAAGAGTTGGTGGTGCAGGTTACAAGGTAAATATTTGCTTTAAACAGGATTGAGTTTTAATGCCTGTATCTACATACATAAACATTTACACCTGTCATCCAAAGGAGTAGGCAGAGACTACAGTCTTCCATTTGGTACGATCCTGACACATCTCTTTCATCCTTTATATCCGTATACCTATGGATACATGCTTGTTGGTTGAGGGTACACTTAATTTGGCCTATTTTCAATATATCGCCAATTTGATCGATAAACTTTCGCCTAGGATGTCCCTTGCATGTCTGTATCTACTTGTTCTTCTATCTTTGTTTTACTAAAAAAAACTAATGGCTTAGTGAACAGAGTACTTGAATAGTGACAAGGAAATGAGTTGGTATTTCGAACTAATTAACAGAATAGGGATCAATAGTATTTGTGCAAAAACAAATGGTTAAAAAAGTATTTACCTGTTTCGAACAATTTATCCAAGTCTACCACTAATGAGGGAGCTATTAGGCGCAGATACGATTTTGACGTAGTAGAGACATGCTCACATTCTCACAGAATATCAGTGTGAAATATCAACTCAATGCTGCTGTCTTTATATGGTGAGTGTAGTGAACTTCTTTTTACTGGAAACGTATCGAATATGGGCCACAGCATCTAGATGCTGTGGCCCATATCTACCATCAGGTAAACTGTGTGCTTGTTTGTCAACCTTATTTTATAAAAGAATAAATTTTTCGAACTTATTACAATATGCTCTTCTAAATTGTTTTGGTCATTATATCAAACTATTCCTGAGCTCTACACAGCTTATACCGATGTTCAAAATTCCTACAGACTGCTATACAGCGAGAATGAGTTATTACCTTAGTTTAATTATACAATATATGTTCCGTGCACAGTAATTAACGACTTGCAATGACAGAGTAAGAGATCGCCATGATTAAAATCCATGGGATTTCTAAGAACTTGTTAAGACCATTTGACTATTGATTCAATGATCATATTGTGAAACATTCTGATGTATAATAAATTGCAGCTAATCATGCTATGATGTCAGTTATTTACCATGTTAGCTACCAATAAATTTAATAACTGATAATAGAATTTTACATATCAGATAAATGCATAATTTATTATACCTTATTGATAATAGAGGATAGAATCATTAGTGTGTTTGTTATGTAGCAATTAAATATTAAAATAGCTTAAATCATATTCTAGTAAAGTTTAAAAGTAACCACTGACTAGTAAGGAGTAATGTTATAGTAAGTTATTAAAACATTTTTTTTATAAAGAATATTTAACAATGCTATAAACATTACTAATATTCCCCTTAACCACTCGTGGTAAGCTTAAATTGCTTGTTGTTACGAGTGGTTCACGCCAGTAGTCGAATGGCGGATTCGAACCCACGATCTTTTTGAGTTCGCGGTCCGCGCCCTGCCATTAGGCTACTGTCGCATTAACATTATTTTGTAAAATTATGTACCTTGTTACAGGTTTTACAATTACTTGAAGGTGTTGCATCAATATATGTATTTGCAAGTGGAGGTTGTAAAAAGTGGGACACTTGTGCACCTGAAGCTATACTTTCGGCTGCAGGAGGAAAATTAACCGACATTTTGGGTAACTACTACAAGTACGGGGCATCAGAATCACGTCCAAACAAAACCGGAGTGCTAGCTGCAGTCAATAATGACCTTCATAGTTATGCATTGAACAGAATACCTGAAGAACTAAAAGATACTCTGTCAAAAAAGTAAATTAATACAATTTATAATTTTAACAATTTATATATATATAAATGGATTTTATGGGATAATATATAAATGTACAGTTAACACATTATTTTTATTTACATAAATTATCAAACTTAATAAACACACTTATTGTAACAAAAATCTGCTATACTTATATTAATCTAAGAATCATGGAATGTGGAATTTTTTAATGGTATTAAAGTTGTTAAAAATTAATTTGCTTATATCCACGTGATGAAATAAAATGATGTGTCTTACCTAGTTGAAGAGCACGTCCTGCATTTTTTTAGTAACGTGCCCTATCCCCCGTCACCACTTATCCCAGCACCAATACTCCCAACACCACTATTCCTAACACCACCAACCTAGGTAAGCTACACCACCAGGATACGTGTTTCGCGTCTACACGAGGGATTCTCATATGTAGACTCTGTAGTGGCTGAGTGCTAAGTTCATAATAATTTTGTTTCATTACGCAAATAGAAGTAAATTAATTTTTAACAACTTGAGTAAAATGGATTTCAGCAAAACAAAGCCTGATTCTATTAATTAAGTATGAAAACAAGCGTAAGTCCTGTATAACATCCAACTTATATAAATAAAATATTTTTCTACATATGACTAGCAATTTACCAGCTATTTTTTGAAATATATTTACAGCTTGCTTTTAGCAAGTTTATTTAGTAATATAGCTTTCAGTTCTCGGCGCAATATTTTTCCAGAAGCGTTCTTGGGTATTTCTTTTAGGAATATAACACCGCCACGTAAATGTTTGGCTGGCGATACCTGTAAATGAGGGAAACACAAATGTCAATGCATAAACCAATAAATGTGGTATGGTTAGACGCCACTTAAATAGTTTGGAGATTTTTGAGTTAATCTTTTTTTTCTTTCCCGTTCTAGGACAAACTTGCCTTAATTGTCACACTAGTTGCATATAAAGGTGAGGGAAAGAAATCGAGAGGGTATTTGGAAAGTATTTGCCCTAATAATTGCGTTACTCAAAAAAAATATCCATATTTTTCTTATGATGTTAATTCCCGAATTTGGGAATGGGTTCCAGTTCCAGGTATTGGGAATGGGAACTCCCATTTTCGATTAGCTTTTAGTCCAGAAATATTGATTTCATGTGACTAGTTTTATAGGTTTTATATAAATGTGAGGGTAGACGATATACTGAAGTAATTTATGGCTGTCGCTTCGGACGTAGCATTTTTACCAAATTTTCAATGTGGTACAACCACTCTGCAATATAACTGCAGCATGAGTGGTTCGAAAAGATCGTGCACGTGCGAAATACCAGCGAGCTGGAGAATCTTTTTGTTAGTAACGAGGCGTTTCATCTTAGTCCTCAGCACGAATCTGCATTTCAATTCTTGAGTCCGCTGACCATTACATAGACTTGTGCTTGTTTATCATCAATGCTTTTGTTTTCAAATCAAATCAAAGTTTTTGAATCTGTTGTTTGCTCCTCAATTCAAAGCCATTTTCGGCAATACGTCAGCGTACATCAGCACGGTTTTTTAAAATCGAAATCCACTTGCACAAATTTAGTCACATTTGTCGAAGGAATTGCTAAAGCTCTAGATAAACAGGAGGAAGTAGACGTAGTGTACACAGACTTCAGCAAGGCCTTCGACAAAATACCCCACTTACCTCTTATAGACAAACTTGCTGCCTATGGCTTTACAGGAAATTTTGCCAACTGGATTAATTCATATCTAACGAATAGACGTTTCTTCGTTGTTGCTAAAGGCTATAAGTCTGAAGCTCACAAGATAACTTCAGGAATTCCTCAAGGTCCCATTTGGGGCCAATTCTTTTTAACGTATATATCAACGATATGCCCAGTAGTTTCCTTTCATCAACCCCCTATCTATTCGCAGATGATTTGAAAATTGCCAGAACCATTAAGTCCCAAGCTGATGTTCTTATGTTACAACATGATTTAAATAGGTTATACAATTAGTGCTGTACAAATCGAATGAAATTAAATATAGATAAATGCATTTTTATTAAATTTACGTGCAAACATAGTAAAACTAAATCCAAATATTATATTGATGGCAAACTATTAAAAGTTGATAGAATTAAGGACCTGGGAATAATTCTAGATAACAAATTAACTTTCGTATCACATATTGAAAGCATTGTTAGCGCTCATCTAATATGCTGGCCTTTATTATTAGAAACAGTAGTTTTCAAAAACTTACAGACACGTATCACTTTGTATAAAGCACTAGTATGTAGTCTTCTTGAATACTGCCCTGTTCTGTGGTATGTGTGGTCATAGTGTGGCCTCCATGCCACACTATACCACGCACATATTAAGAATAGAACGGGTCCAAAAACGCTTTTTATGGCATTTATCTCACATGTCCAAAGTTTCAAAGCAAAATTTATCCTATCATGAAAACCTCAAACACTTTAAAATGTCCTCATTGAATAAAAGAAGGACCCTTTTGGACCTAATATTCATTTATAAAATTTTTAATAATCAAATTGACTGCCCTCAGCTTCTAAACCTTTTTAATTTCAGGATCCCCTTCAGGGTTCCAAGAAGTAGAGTAACGGGTTGTTACTCTATTTTATCCGCCATCCCGCAGGACTGTTTTAGGAAAATATTCACAAGTTCCTCGTCTGTGTAACGCATTAAATACGTGGTTTATTAATGATCCCAAGGATGTATTCTCTCTTAAAATTAACCAGTTTCGTGCACATTTGTTAAAAAAAATCCCAGATTAATTACACCTATCTTTTACCTGTTATAACTAGTTTAAAATTAACCTTATAATGTAAAAGGTACTTATGTCACATATTAAAATAGCACGTTGTGTTTATCTGTAACTGATTGTGCATTTAGCTCATAATAGTTTATTACAATGTAACTACTTTAAGTTTCTGTAATGTAACAGTTGTTGGTAGACCAAATAATATAAATAAATGCTTCGATAAAAAAGCAACGTGTCAAAGAGTCGTGTTTTCGTGCCAATAACATCCTTAATAGTAGGAGCTTGTTTTTGATGGAATGGTAACATAACAAAAGTTCTCAAAAGTTTACATTTAGGCCACGGTTCTGATGCTTTTTCTTTACCGTCAAATTCATATCAATCTATCACTACATATACACTTTAAGTGCATATAGTCTTACCTTGCCAGCAATATACTGAACAATATCATTTTCTGTGACGGTGGAGTTAGGTTGGCGCACGACGAAGGCTGTGGGTAGCTCGCCAGCGACCTCATCGGGCATACCAACCACACCGCAGTCAGACACCTCGGGGTGTTGTAGTAACAGGGCTTCCAGCTCAGCTGGTGCGACCTATAACAATAGATTACACACACATTAGTTTAGTTTCATAACAAACAATATGTTACATAGTGTAATGCTCTTTCTTTTTTGACTATATAGTTACACTACTGCTGGTGGTAGCTGGTACCTGTTCTGCCGAGAAGCTTGGGTTGATATCATTATTTCACCTACTTCTGCAATCAAGCAGTAAGACTATGGATGTGAAGGCGGTCATCAACGACTTCAACCGAGCCGATAACAACGGTTGTTTTCGTTTTCAACAGTTGACAACCGCTTTTGATGGCTTGAAATAAATTTTTTAAATCGCCAAGTAGTTTTTAAGCACCATTGCAAAAAGCGATTCAATTTTTTCGTCCTTTTTCATCTGTAGTCGGATAAACAACTGGTTGACAAAGGTTGCATATCAGCTGCTTTGGATAAATATCCATTGTCAACGGTTGTTTCACACCTATAAGTAAGATACAAAGTGACACAAAGTCTTAGTCCTCAGAAGAGATCACACATCAGTAACCTTTTGTTAAAAATTGGTTTTAGGTGTGCAAGCATACAGCATGCAAGTTAAATTTTTATTATAAAATCCGCTAGATTGAATTGAATCAAAAATCAAGCAGGTGTTTACTCTTTATTGTTTAATTGCACGATGTAATTTTAAATCAATTAGAAAAGGCGCAAGACGAATATTTTCACTGAGGAGATCTGCAGTCTGAAGACATACATATATTCTTTTAAAAGCAGTAGATTCCTTGGAATCTTACAATATGGAGATATTAAGTTTGAGGGCTAGGTAGTGCAATGGCAGTATTTGGTTGTAGAACTGCAGGTCCGCGGTTTCGAATCCAGCACGGAACTAGTGTTTGTATGGTCTACAAATTTTTGCAGGTCTGGATATTTGTCCAAGTGCAGTTTATATATGTAAATTACTTCCACAATACAGGAGAAAGTCATAATACCCATTAGGTAGGTACCCATTTCAAAAACTAATATAAAAATAGGAAGTAAGCAAAGAACTAGCAACATTAAATTTGAAAAGTTTAAAAAAATACGCCCTTAACTAATTTTCATTTTTTTTTATTCTATTACTTCTAGTTACATACAGATTATTACTAATAGAATTTAAATGTCCACATTTTACTTACTTGAAATCCTTTGTATTTAATTAGTTCTTTCAGACGATCAACAATATAAAAATATCCATCTTCGTCGTAATAACCAATATCTCCTGTTCGCACATAACCCTCAGAGTCTATCAGAGCATTGCTTGCTTCCTGATCATGCATATAACCTTTCATACGTAAAGGAGATTTAATCCAAAGCTCTCCCTTTTCTCCAATGGATAATAATTTTCCAGTATCAATATCTAATACCTAATAAAAAAAAGATTCTTATAGTGTTTTAATCTTATAATTATTTTTATTAGTACTAATCTTCAGTGTTCATCAGATCATTTGAAACACAGTAAGTAAATATAACAAAAGGTTATTACGTTGTCCCTATATTTAAATTGGACAGTAGAGAAGATCCTACAAATTACAGGCCCATCTCTGTGTTCCTAGCCATATGCGAAATATTTCGAAAAATTATTTTAGAACAGATATTTGTTCATTTTAATTTAACTTCTTAAATGGAATGTCTATGACAAATATTGTTGTAAAACAAGTGTTACATGTTGTGTTGTGTTGTGTTATAGATT